GTTTCAGGCTCTTAAGTTCTGTAAGGATAAGGATAAACAATCTCAAGAAAAGTTGGAGGCGCAACGAGAGCGGCTTGTGAATCATAAACTTGTAGAAAGCATCCATCGGATTGAAAAGGGTAACTGATGAATTAAGCTCATTTACATTTTATTTGTCTAATCCTTCAGTGAAAGATGTACCGAAAGGAACCGGGGACGCATTGCGTCCGACTTCCTTGAGGCAAGCACTCACAGGCGCTCAAAAATCCGCGACTACATCGAAAGCGACTAAAGTTATAAAAAAGGAAAGACGCAATATCGTTCAGCAAGGAAAAAAGTCGGGAAATGCTTTGGCAGCAAAGTAAGTCTCTCTTGTTATGTCCAACTGACTTCACTTGGTCTCCGATTTTGAAAGGCATGTATACATTGTTCAAGGAATGCGGAGAGGAAATCTGGTGACGGCGATGAAGACAATACCAACTCTCTTAGTTCTGAAGAAACGAAACAAGGGGCGGACAAGACCGAAAAAGTACGTTTCATAATAGTTTGTCCCATTTTGCGTGCCGTACGCTGAATATAGCCCGCTTGTTTTGAAAGTAAGGCGAGGTTGTGACGATTGAAGCTACTCAGTGACTTTTAGATGAAAGTTATGTTCTTTATTTTGTCCAAAATGCCGATCGTTCCAAGATGTTTTTAGAGAATGAGAACTTTTGGCAATGGAGAGTGGTGAAACTGTTCATCCTTTCCCTTTTTCAGGGCGAATCAAAACAAAATTTGGAAACAAAAAAGCAAAGAAGCAGAAGTCTTAGTGATAGTGACACAATGAAAATATTCAGCAAAAAAGAAATGCTTACCGATCAAGCTGTAAGAACTTTGGCCCAGTCGGAAGTGCAAGCGTTGTTGTATAAAACTTTTTCTAGTTGTTAGACGACGAGGACAATACAGGTGGTGGGACTACAGTATCACCGGCGTCGGAGGAGGTTAAGCGTTCCGATGATGCTGTCAAGGTAGACGATCGATAGTTCGTTGCATTGTCCGTTTTACAAAGTATCCTTTATAGAATGAGGACGAAGATCTCGATACGACAAAATCTCGCAGTTCTATAGATACTGCTACCGCATTGGACGGAAAAACTAGGAGGGAAAGGTTGGTGAAAGTGTAATTACCATTCGAGTTATTTTGACCTAACTATTTTAACTAAATGTTCGAGTAGCTGAGATACAAGGAACTTGAAATGAAAATAACCTTTTTT